GCTGCTGCCGCAGCCGCCGCTGCCAGCACTGCTATGCGGTTGCGGCGCTGGCCAGCAGGGCTGCTAGTGGCAGCGGTGCGCTGTGGCAGCTGCCGCATGGGCAGCACCTCCTCCGCATCCTCCAGCTCGTGCTCCATGGCCAGTACGGCGATCAGGCCCGCAGCGGCTGCCCGCTGGCTGCTGCGCCGAGCAGGAGCCTCCCCCTCATCCATGGCCGCCGCAGCAGCTGCCACCTCCGCTTCATCGGCCAGCTCTGCCTCCACAGCGCTGCGCTTGCGGCCGGTGATGGGCGCCCAGGCTGTGGGGCGGCGTGCAGCTGTGCGGGTGGTTGGCACTGCGGGGCTGTCGTCCACGCCCTGCTCCATGTCCATCTCCTCGTCGCTGCAGCATGGGGCAGAAGAGCAGGCAGGTGGCTGGACACAGGCGCAGCAAACCAAAGGCTGTGTGCAATGCGGCGGCAGCCTCGCCCTGTACTGCTGCCACGTCCTGCCCCAACCGCCCTCCTGCTGCCCCAGGGATCTGTTTACCGCTGCTGCTGCATACCTGGCAATGCCCAGCAACCGGGCAATGAACTCGGCGGGTGCTTGCAGCACGCGCTGGCTGGGCTCGCCAAACAGCGCTTGCGAGCGGGTCATCTTGCGGCCCAGCGCTGCAGCGGGCTCGTGGTTGATCATCCCTTGCACGCGCCGCACCTGAACAACAGGACAATGAACAGCCTTAGAAGGCAGAGCAGCATATATGGTGGTCGTTATGCAACACAGCACCGCCAAACAGCAGCAGGCAGCAGCAGCAACAGCAGGCAGTCAGTATGCTGGGGCTGGCTCCGCCTGGCATGCAGGCAAGCTGTACCTGGTAGCGCCAGGCAATGGTGGGAGCCATCTGCAGCTGAGCAGAGATCTTGTCCTTGACGGTGCGGTTGCTGCGCTCCACGCAGCCCTGGCTTTGCGGCTTGCCGATGGCCCCATTGATGGCGGTCACGCCAAACGCTTGGCACAGCTCCAGGATGATGCCGGCGACAAACTCCTTGCCATTGTCAGACTGCAGCCTGGCTGGCGCCTGGGTGTCCATCCAGATTTTAAAGAGCTGCAGGTAAATGGACAGGACAAACAGTGAGGATTCCGATGGTCACAGCCAGCATGGCAGCACGTGGCAGCAAGGAAGGCAAAGGGGCACTGCTGCAATGCACCACGGGCAGGGCAGCGATTAGCTACCCTCATTTCCTGCCCTTGCCTCCCACGCTTTTCTGATACTGCAACAATCCAGCAGCAGATTGCCAGGCGCTCACCTGGCGGGCAACCCCATGCGGCCTTTTGGAGGCCAGCACACGGAGCCACACGTGGCGGGTGAAGAGGTCCACATAGCTCATGATGTAGCGGTACTTGGGGTCGCGGCCCTCGCCCAGGTCGATCAGGTCCACCTTCTCACAGGGATGTGGATGGGGAGAGGGGTGGCATGGTAACGGGGGGAATCTCGCATCGAACTCAGCATGGCGGGCAGGTTTGCTGTGGGTCAGTGAGCAGCAGCCCTAAGTAAAAGCAAAATGGCTGCTCCAGCTGAGCCACACAATTGCTGTCACCAGCATGCGCACCTGGCACTGCTGGAACGCACGGTCCACCACGATGGGGTGCGGGGCAGGCTGCTCGGCAGGCTTCAGTGGTGCTTGGTCGGCACGCACGGGGCAGCCCAAGATGAAGATGCTGATCACGGCACGGTCAAACCCCTCCAGGCCGTAGAGGAATGGCACCTTGCCGTCAGCACCAGCTGCCAGCTCGGTGGGTGCGTTGTAGGCCAGCTGCAGGAAAGGCAGCAGAGCAGCAAAGGAGGACCAGGGGAGTGCGCGGCGTGAGGGAGGGAAGGAGGGATAGATGGAGAGGAGGGCAGCGCCACCTTGGCCGTGCCGCACCCCCCGTGCTTGCTGCGATGCATCCGGTTGCTGCCTGATGCAGAGCACTCTCCAGTTGGTCTGGCGGCAGCATTGCACCCCTTGTATCACTCACATGTGTGTACAGCTTCTCCACACCGCTGAAGCCAGTCGCCCGCTCGTGGTGCTCCTTGATCACTCGGGGCAGCTCCTCGAGCGGCACCACGGGGCACCACCGCCACTCTCCGCTGCGCTTGACGCAGCGGCACAGGATGTCCTGACCGCCAGCGCCCTTCAGCACCTGGAAGAACTGCAGCACCTTCTTGCTGTAGTTCTTGGCGCCGCCCTGCACTGCCGCCCCCCCTCCCGCACCCCGCCGCCGCCGGCCTGAGGGCGCCTGCTGGTCGCCCTGCTTGATCCGGATGATGCCCTCTACATCTGACTTAGTGAGAAACACATTCTTGGCGCCGTTTTGGCGCCGTTCTAAGGCATAAAGGATGACAGGTTGGTTCATAATTTTAAATTTGCGGCAGCTGCGGGGTGCGGGAGGGGAGAAATAGAAGCCTTAGAGACTCTGAAAGGCGAAGGAAAGGGAGGGATCGCGGGAGAGAGCGTGCCTGATGAGCCAGACGAATCGCTGCGGCTGCCGCGGCGCCTGCACCCGGAACTGCAGCTGCAAGAAGAATGGTGCGCGGTGTGGGCGGCACTGTGGCTGTATAACCGGTAAGGGTGGCAATTGCAAGAACCATTGAAGAAGTGTGCCTTGTACGCTTTGCCGTCTCCGCTGGAAGGTGCTGCCGCCTGTGGCGGCTTCATATTTCCTGTTCATTTCTGTTGTTCGGTCTCTCTGTTCGTGTTGGTTGGCTTGTAAGAGTTGTATTTCTGACGCTAGAGAGGTGAGATGACAGCGGGAGCGTTGAAGCGTGCATGCCATCACGTGTGCAAGCAGCCCCGCTCCGCCCCGCTCAACCCTCAAACATGGCTCTATGGGGTCAGTTCACGTATGGGAGGGGAGCGCCGCGCGGGCTGCCAGGAGGGAGCGGGGGCGGGGGTTGCCCAATCGGGAGGGTGCCACATCAGCGGGCAACACATGCAAAGCGCTTGCCGCGTCCATACGTCCTGTCTGGACCTTCTTCACCCCTGAGAACTTCATCCCCCCCAGCTACTTCCCCGCCGTTTTTTGCTACGCCGTCCTGGGAGCAGCAGGCGGCCCCCACACTGCAGAACCCGGGGAACCGCCGCTGCAGGCGCAGATATAGAGTCCCCCCGCGCACGCCTGCGCCCCAGGCGTGCCAGTGACCTCCGCCCCGTGCTTCGCTGTGCAAGCAGCGGGAACCATGGCAACGGCGGCAGAGATGGGCTCGAAGCCTTCGCCACACCCGTGCCCCATCCACACCTCCCTGCCTCACTCCTCCTACGAGGAAAACAACCCAGGGGCGCAGGTCCCAGAGATCAGGTGGGCCTCGCGCAGCCTCAGGCGGACCCCTTTGGCGCAAGGGGCAGGAAACGATGCGCGGGCCCACACGGTGTCCTGGGCTGACCGCCCTCTCACCGCCTTTGTTTAAGCGCGTCTCCGCAGGGCCTACAAGCTGGGCAAGAAGCGGTGGAGCTACAACCAGGTGGAGCTTGTGCTGGGCGAGGCGGGCGGGCGGCGGGCGGCGGGCGTCCAGCAGGCCGTCCACGCGTCCACGCAGTTCCCGACAGAGCACCAGGCGAGTGCTGCCATGGCTGGCCCGGTTCCCCACGGCACTTGCTGGCTCGTGCGCACAGTATGATTGCCACCATTAAACGGTGCCCTGCCTTGCGTGCGTGCCTGGCTGCAGGACTCGGCCGTCGGTTTTCTGGTGCAGCTCAAGTCGGGGCAGAAGCTGCAGGTGCACATCTACCTGTGCTACGACCAACCCCTTGCCCCCCCGGCGCCTGATCATCCCGACTCCAACACCGGCGCGGCCCCCTCCTCCGCGCCTGCTGAGAACGAGGCAAACCCCGCTGCTGCTCCGCCCGCACCCGCGCTGCCCGGCGCCAGCGCTGTTCCCGGCGCCGTTTTGGCAGGCAGCGATGCCAATGCAGGCATCAGCGGAGAGCACTCTTGGTGAGCAGTAGTCACTGCTGTTGGGAGGCTGCGCAGCACCCCCTATGGCTGGCTGTGCGGGACCAAAGCTTGGACATCTAGCTTGCGACGTGTTGTCCTCATCCTGATGTCCCCTGCAGGCGCCTCGTGGCCCGGGCCGACTGCCACAAGGGATGCCGCGGCCCCACTCTGCGCTCGATCCAGGTGAGCCCCCGGCACCAGCCGATACGCCACCGCGCTGCCCGGCCGAGTAGAGTGCCAATTGTATTGCTCGCTGCACAGCATGCCCCAACTTGCCACTGCACGCTCCACAACACCCTTCCTTCATCCATTGCCTGCTGTCCCCGTGCAGCGCTTTGGGCGCCTGGGCAAGCGCTCCTGGAACGATGCGGCTGCCGCCACCGCCGACGACTCCAACCCGGATCCGCCGTCCAGCTCGATGGCGGGGAACTGCTCCATGAAGGTGGGGGTGCATGCCTTGCCAGCCGCCCAGTTCACGGCGCCAGGGACCCACTACGAGCGACGCCAGCTACTTGCGTCCCCTGCCACACCAGGCTCTCTCCCTTGCTGCCGCAGCATGCTCAGGCCTCCAGCACCCCACATCTGGCCCCATGCCTCACAGTCGTTTTGTGCCCCGCTCCTGCCACAGGACCCGCGCTACATGTACCTGTCGCTGGACGAGGCGTGCACGCACGTGGACACCCCCGCCTTCCGCCTCGTGGCCGGCGTCTACAACCGCCATGCCACGCGCCTGCTAGCCACCGCCGTCAGCCCACCCATCCGGTGAGGCTTGCCCGCGGTTTGCAGCCCTTCGAAACGCTCTGGCGCCAGTTCCATGCCCTCCTATCCCTTGTCGTCGCACACCTGCCATCTTGCCTGCCGCCACCATCCTCTGCCCCGCAGCGTGCTGGCCAACAACGACGTGCCCACCGGCGCCGCGCGCATCCCGCTGGAGGCGCGCCTGCCCGCCGACTGGGAGGGGTGGGGCGCCGAGGAGGCGGCCGGGGCGGCGGCAGCAGCACATCGCTCCGTCTCCCCCAGACACGGCGGCCGGCGCAAGCTCTCGGTGAGCAAGCTGCGGCCACAGTGCCATTCATGCCGAGCAGATGGAAGATGGCCTTGTGCACCTGCAAGCTTAGCACCCTGCCTCATGCCCCATTCTCCTGCAGTTGAGGGGTGCTGGCAGCGACCCCTCCCAGTCAGGCACCCCATCTGCTGACCTCAACCAGGGCAGCAAGCCGCAGCAGCATTCGCAGCCGCAGCGGCTGGACCACCTTCACCAGTCAACGCAGGAGGTGCCGCCGCTGCCTGTGCATCTGCAGCAGGCAGGCTGGCTGGGCCGCGCGGCGCAGTCTCAGCCCAACATCACGGTTGCTTCTGCTGCCCCGCTGTTCCAGCTATGGCAGCAGTTACAGCAGCAGCAGCAGCAGCAGCAGCAGCAGCAGGAGCAGCAGCAGGCGGCGGCATCTGCCTGGCAGCAGCCGATGCAGGCGGTTGGCGTGGACCAGCTTTCTCAAGCTACGCAGCAGCTGTCGCAGATGCTGCAGCTGCTGCAGGCTGTCAATGGAGCAGGCCGTGCTAGCCTTGGGCAGGGCGTGCTGTACCCAGGCGCGCCGCCGCCCCAGCAGCTGCCGCCTCCAGCGCCTGCATTCGGTGGCTTGCTGGGCAGCCTGCCATCCCTGGCTGGCCTGGGGGGGAACGGCCACGGGCAGCTCAGCTCGTCCAACCTGATTAGCATGCTGCTGGCAGGGGCCAGCGCTCCGTCGCCACCCCCAGCCCCGACTGGCTGGGGCGTGGGGCAGGGGCTGCCGCCCAACCTGGCTGCGATTGCCACCAGCCTGGCGGCAGCGGCTGGGCGAGCGCAGCCGGCGCCCGCGCAGCCCGCCAGCCCTGACGGGGAGGAGGCAGGCTGGAAGAAGCAGGCGCTGGAGAATGGTACGTGGCCTGCCAGCCTGGGCATGGCATCAGCAGGCGCACTGGCTTCTGAGGTGCAGCACGAGGCGGCGACTGACCCACAGAAGCCTGTGCCGCTGGCCAAGGTTCACTCAGGGGCGCCGCCGACCCCCAGGCAAGACTCCAGGCAGCAAGATTCGATCGCCCCCGCCCTGGCTTGCGTGACCTGGCATCAAACATGCTCAGCCGGCCTTGCACCCTCCCAGCCCGTTCTCACCGCAGCACGCGCCTTGCTGCAGGGATGTGCCCGTGGACACCATGGTCATGCTGGCCAACCTGGCGGCTGCAGCAGCGGGGACCTAAGCCGATGCCTCCCTGCCCACATGCCCCGAGTTAACCCAGGCCTCCCGCCTACCAAGCCCAACAACTGACCGCACACATTTTTTGCTGGCAAACAAAACAAGCTACAGTAAAACACCGCTACAGCCTCTCAGCCTCCGACGACCGTTCTTCGTCCAGTGTCTGCTTCCTGTAATTCTCGCCTCCTGTGGCGGCTCCCCCTCTCCCCACCGTTCCCTTGCTTTGCAGTCTGGGAGGCCCTGCAGCTGTGCCACTCTTATCGTTCGTGTTGCGGTCCTGCTTTTTCCGGGCTCTCCTCTGGTTTTCCTCGCCGTCTCTCCCCGCGCTGCATGACCATTGTTGCAATCCGCCTGTTGTGGCGCTGTTGAACAGTGTAGGTAATAGCATTTCAGAGTGTGCAACGACATGTGAATGTGCTTCAAGCTTGCGCCCGACCTGGCTCCTCCAGCCTCGTGCCCAGCAGCTGCTGGCCCAGCTGCGTGAGGTCGCTCCCCTGGCGGTAGCGCTCCACGCCTTGCCGCAGCCTGCGCTGCGCGTTGGCTGCCTGCACCGCCAGCGCCAGCGCCCGCCCAAAGTGCCCCTCTGCATCCCGCAGGGAGGGCGCCACCAGGCTGCCAAACCAGTGCAGCGGCCTTCCAGGCTTGGCCACCTCTGCATACTCGTCATCCTCGGCGGGGCAGTCCTTGGACATGGCCGCGGTACCGCCAGGGCTGCAGGCGCAGGCATGGGGCCAGGGAAAGAGCAGCGCATGGGCCAGTGGCAGCTGGAGGCATGTGAAGGGCAGAGCAGGGCGTGGACACTTTCAGGGGCCAACCAGCAAGCAGAGGCAGGGGCAGGGCGCTGCTCACCTGGCGGCTTCCCGTGGACTGCTGCCATCGCACCCATACTTGGCTGCTAGCTGCTCCAGGATGCCGTCGCTCTGTTGCGCGGCGAGTCGCAGCCGCTGCAGCTGCGCATCCAAGCTCTCCTCGCAGACGCCGCTTGTGGCGGCGGCGGCGGCCCCGCTGGTGTCTGCCCCCGAGACAGCGGCGGGCGCAGTCGCCGCCCCTGCTGCTGCCTCTCCTGCACCACCTGCCGGCGCTGCCTCGTGCACCACTGGTGCGGCCGTCCAGCTGCCAGTGCTGGCGGGCGAGGAGCGCGGCGAGGGCACGGAGGTGGGCTCCGCCACCACCAGCTCCAGCTCGCCGCCCTCTGCAGGGAGGCAGCAGGGACAGGACTGCGTTGTGTTCTTGCAACTAAAAGATTGCCTGTGGCTCCTCTCAGCCCCTGGCAAAGCCTAGGGGAGGAGGAACCAGCGGCGGCGGCGACGCACCTGTCGCTGCCACCCGGGCGGTGGCGGCCATGTGGGAGGGCAACTGCAGGGCGGACACGCGGTCGGCGCCCATGGAGTAGCGCGCCTGGGCCAGACTGAGGAAGCCCGCCCGCAGAGCCTCGCCCAGCGACTGC